AGAAATATGTACTTAGCTCTGCCTTACCTAGAAAGCTAGCATATTAGGGAAATTGCCAAATATTTAATGTAACCTTCCCTGAGGGATACTATATTTAATCTCTATCTTATGACTATTACTTGTGCGTAAAAAAAAAAGTGAGGACACATCAGCTATACAAACATAATATGAATAAAAATAACTTGGTCTATTTAGTTCTTTCCTGGTAAAACATTATAATACATTCTGGATATGGACCTGCTAATGATTTAACTCTGTAGTTTTCTTTTTGTACTGTTATATTCTTAGCAATTGTCTACTTTCCCAGTTACATATATCCCATTTAGTTGTTAATAATTTTTCATAAAATATTGATATGCTTTACTGACAACTAATTTTTGTCTATTGAATTGACTAAAGGATATTTAGCCTTGTCCATACCAAAATAATTTTAACAGATTTTTTCTTACTTTCCAAATTAGAGATAAAATAATACCCTAAATTTGAAAAGGATTTATCACTCTATCAGTATTTTAAGGGGAAATAATCATTATTAATATATAGGATTGTTATTAAATAAAATGGTGTGGAACCAGTAATTTTAAAACTAGAGAATCCTGACTTTACACAGTAGTAGTAGGCATTGGGTAACATTTACCGTGGCTCTCGAGAAACTGACTAGAGTTTACTTGATTTGAAAGGGATAAAACCTATTGCCATGGTCTTGTTTCACATTTCCCATAACTTCTATTTAAGTGAACAAATGTGTGATTATTTTTACATTTCACAGTAATTATTTTACAGAACTAATATAGCAAAATAATTCCTATATGCCATGAATAAAGAAAACACACACACATACTTCAATAGAGTTTTGTTAATAAAGATCTTTTTCCTTCAAAATTTACTGTTTCTCTAAATGTCAAGTTCTCTATAATTGTTAAAATTACTCTAGGAATAGTATTGTAAACTTTTACCATCTCATTTATCATTGAGAATCTACTATTGAGAATTATAAATCAGAGTACAATCTTCTTTTACTTTTAATACACAATACCAAATAGCAACTTATTTAGATTTTTTTCTTACTTTCACATTAGCGATGAAATAATCCTCTATGAAAAATATTTTTCACTCTGAAAAAGTTGGAGAAATAACCCATAATTAGTGTGCAGAATTTTTATTAAATGAATTGGTATGGATTCCATGAAGTTACAACGAGAGAACAGTTGTTTTACACAGTTACCTCCTGAGTCTATTGACATACCTTTCCTCCAGTACCAATTGTTCTGATGAATAGAGAAGTATCAGAGTTTCCACCTCATCAGTTTTACTATGTAAGATTGTGTATCATTGAAGATAACATTTATTAACTTTTTAGGTAAAAGTTTCAAAATTTACAAAAATGGGAGTTAAAAAAATAATCAGTGAGGGGGCGTAATGAAAAAACCTGATAGATTTCAAAAAATGAAATCTATTGTCTTACTAAAATGAAAAGTATGTTCACTGTAACTTCTCTATTTACAAAAAGAAAAGGCAAAGTAAAAACATTTTAAAACTTAACTAGCTCTATAAGGTTTTTCAAGCATAATCTTCATTTTATAGCATTGGTTTTATTTTGCAAATATGTATGCTAATAATTTTGTGTATCATATTAGAATAACAAAGAATAAGTCTTTTTTTATTAATGTAACATGATCTCTCTGTTTCCTTTATTATTTCAGTTATGAGTAAGTACAAAAAAACAAACCCCTCAATGGCATAAAACATCTTAAGATGCTTTTGTTTGTTCAGAACAGTAGCTCTAACTTTAAAGTGTATTCCTGTGTCCTGCATTTATTAATGGCATGACAGTTGTGACTAAGCTTGTTTTGGAAGCTAAGCAGTACATTGGTTTGAAAAACACAGTGATATGTTTTCAAATCCAAATGGTACTCTGCATTGGTCATTCTTTATTGTACTATATTGCTTCACTTTTCTCAGAATCATTATGTACTTATTATATACATATCATACTAATATGACTTCATTTATTTTCTCTCTTATAAGATTTACCTTTATTTGAAAACAAAACATCTCCATTATACATTGAATCTAACACAAATCGCATTAACAATACCCTCAGAACACATACTGAAACTGATTCTTCAGATCTCCATGACTGCCATTGAAGTACAAGTCTCTATCTTCCTTGAACTTCTGAAATGTTGTATTGCTTCCATTCTTGTCCCCTTATTCATTTTTCATCAGAAACAGTGATCTTTACAAACTAGAATAATGTCAGGATACTTCTCTGATTGAAACTCTCCAGTGGTTTCCTTTTACAGAATATCACCCGCTCTCTACCAATTCTCTGTCATCTCATACCACTGAGTGTTCATTTTGCACCATTTCACTGAGCAGCCCAGTCTTTGAACTGGCCAAGTGTGCTTGGGCTGCTCACTGTTTCTTCTGGCTAGAAACTCGGTGCTAGGCATGTGTGGCTCCCTTTGTCATTGATTTCTTATTTATCATTTACTCACCTTACCTCCATAACACTCACTTATCACCATATGTAATTGTCTTTGTTGTCTTTTTTAAAATTATTTACTATCACTAAAATATGTAAGTTCTACAGGAGGAGAGTTGTATTACAGCTCTATCTCTAGCACCTAGAAAGGTAATGATTTTTAGCATGTCTTCTGAAAAATATGCCATAAGACTATTTCCCTACTAATGAGGGGCTTCTGAGCTCCTAGAAGGGTGAGAGGAAAATAAAAGTCTCAGCAAAATTAATTTAGACAAAATTCAAGGTTAGATTGATCTGCTTGCTTCTTCAGCCATCAAACAGGAAATTTTAGAGACTAATAAGATATTAACAATCTAGACAAAGGTTAGTGATGCCTCAATATTAGAAATGGAGTTCTCAAAATAGAGTTCAAAGCACTACACTGAATGGAACATAAAGCTTAACAATAAAATAAATTAATAAAAACAAAAGCAAGAGTAAAACACTGCATGAGTCTTCTCCAAAGCAGGAGTGAATTCTTTTACTCTATCCATCCTTTGGCTCAGGTCAAAATTATGGGGTCTTCCTTGGTACTTCCCTCTCTTTCATAGTACAAATGTCACTTCTCTTCTAATAACGGTCCAGTTCTTTTCCTCTCACTTGGAGCAAAAGCCAAACTTTACAGTGATCACCAAGGCCCTATCTTACCTAGTTTCTGCAGCCTTCGTATGCTGATGCTTGCCCTCTGTTTCTGCCCACGCTGTACTGGCCACCTTGCCATTCTTTGAACTTGCCAAGCATGTCTCTACTTCAGCACCTTTCACTTGCTATTTCTTCTTTCTGGAACACTCTCCACCCCTATTCCATTTCCACTTGGTTTGCTTCCTCATTTCTCTATATATAATATATTATGAATGTTTACCACCAAAGAGTCAATGTATATGTGTTCTAGAATACGTATTAGAAAATAGTGAAAACCTTGTTTTAGATGTGTAGTCTAGCTTAGAATTTAAGACAACGGATTCTTGAGTCACAATGTTTGAGTTGAAAAAAATCAGTTTGTCACTAACTTTTCTCTAAATTCCTCTAAATCTCAACTTCTTTTTATTTTTGTAAAATAGCTATAAATATTCATCTCAAGACTTTATTCACAGAGGGTTAAATAAGACACTACAATGCTTCCTGGCTCATAGTAAATGCTCAATTAATACCATAATAGTTATTTCAGTGTTATTCCTGCCTAATATTTGTAATCATTTTGACATAGTTACAATTGGGTTAATTGATAGGGTGTTAAATATAACCTACATATTATTTTTCCACAGGAAAGTATATCTTAAATATTTTTTCTTGCTGCTAAATAGACTTAAAATGGCAAAAATAGTTTTGAGTCCTATATAAATTATGACATTCAAGACAGACACCATAATTTAACTATTACTCCATCACTGTAAAACATTTAGCTTTCAATTTTCTATTATTGCATTACAATAATCATGCATCTATATATTATTCCCCCTTTTATGAATTAAGATTTTTCCTTGGTGAAAATTCTTGTATTCGTGGATGTAAGATAAGATTGTTGGTTAAAGGAGTCTGAAGCTTATTTACAATTCCTTTGAAATCACTCATTGCTTTTCACAAAGATGGTGTGACCTTATACCACCACAATATATGTATATGTATATGTATATGTATATGTATATGTATATGTGTGTGTGTAAATACAAAAAATATATATATATATATGTTTCATTTCATTTATGTTCTACCTAGAAAAATACAAAAGAATTGAGGCAAGAAAAATATCTGATTAGTGCTAAATAAATGGATGAAAAATATATTTTTATTTATTAATAAGCATCAAGACTTATAAATAAACTAAATAAATAAGTAATATCCAAGTCACTTCATTAAATTCATATGATGGTTAAATCTTTGTATTAAAAAGCTATTCACTCAGGTTGCTTATTTTAGCTAGAAAATATTAAGTATCATAAGAGAACTGTCAAACATCAGAAGCTCTAATTAATTGATCTTCTCTTTAAAAACTAAAGAATAACTTTGGGTCCAATGAATTGGTGTTGGAGATAAATAAGAGCTTAAAGACGTATGTGCACACAGTGGTGTACCCAAAGGAATTATAACCAGGAAAAAATCGATTTTTTTATTTCAGCTATTAACTGCTTCACCTGTTTGAAATAAAACACACTTGGTAAAACTGCATTTTGATCGTTGTTTTAGGAAGCAAAGTGACTGATTGACCTAATTATCCCACTGTTAACTATTCTGCAGAAAATATCTCATGTATAGCCTTGATACATGAATACTATACTGCCGAAAATTAAATGACTTCAGTGCAGTGAAATCTAACTATAGAGATACAAGGAATTAATATTTTTCCTATTTAACGCAAGACTCTTTCTAATATTTTACTCAACTGAAGAGATTGCAATCTGTAATAACCAATGTATAAATCAGATTATACATAAAAAAGCCATACTGATTATTCTTTTTTTTTTTAAATTTTCAGTATAAAGAACGTAACTCCAAAAGTAGGAGACACTGAAACCCGTAAAGCTATTCGCCGTGCCTTTGATGTGTGGCAGAATGTAACTCCACTGACATTTGAAGAAGTTCCCTACAGTGAATTAGAAAATGGCAAACGTGATGTGGATATAACCATAATTTTTGCATCTGGTTTTCACGGAGACAGTTCTCCCTTTGATGGAGAGGGAGGATTTTTGGCTCATGCCTATTTCCCTGGACCAGGAATTGGGGGAGATACTCACTTTGACTCAGATGAACCATGGACACTAGGAAATCCTAATCATGATGGTAAGTGCATAGTTTTATTTTTATATTCTCTTTTTATTTTTATTTTTGGAATGCTGAAGTGATTTACTAATTTACAAACTTAAAGTATAGATTCCAAATTTGTTTTTTAAATTAGAAAGCAGTATGTGAGGGATCTTAGAACAAGAATTTGTTATCGGTCGTCAGACAGTGATAGTTTTTCATGTGACTTTTTGATTAAAGATTAGAATTTTACACTATTTGATAAATACTATAAAGCAATTTTTTTCTGTACAATATCACTTAAAAAGTTTCTATACTATTTCAGTCATGGGTGGGCATTAAGTGAATTCTGCTATTTTTTTGGACACTTTATTCCACTATTTCCACTTGAAACTTCACCCTGATTGATAGTTGTGGTGTGGCTTCTACCCTACCTTTTCTGTTATTTTATTCTCGATTTTCACCTTTCTAGTCTGTGTAATTTTTCCCCTTCTCTTTTGTCTCTTCTCCATTTCCATGGTCTTTCAATCTAATACAATTATATATTAATAATTTTTGTATTATGTCTTAATTTTTTGTCAAAAACCACTTTCTTACCCATCTATTCCAACACATCTGTCAATTTTCTAATCCTTATAATTATTCTGATATGCAAAAACTGTAAAAATTAAAAATTAAATAATTTTAAAAATAGTTACTTGTTGCAAGAAGCATGTGTTTCTTCCTAGACAACAATTCATAGTTCAATTCTTTTTGTATTTTTTATTTTGTTATCATTAATATACAATCACATGATCAACATTGTAGTTGTTAGATTCCCCCCATTATCAAGTCCCACCATATAACCCTCACTGTCCATCAGCATAGTAAGATGCTATAGAGTTACTACTTGTATTCTCTGTGCTATACTGACTTCCCCGTGCTCCCCCATACATTATGTGTGCTAATCGTAATGCCCCTTTTCCCCCTTATCACCCCCTTCCCACCCACTCTCCTCAGTCCCTTTCCCATTGGTAACCGTCAGTCTATTCTTGGGTTCTCTGAGTCTGCTGCTGTTTTGTTCCTTCAGCTTTTGCGTTATTCTTATACTCCACATATGAGTGTCTTTCCCTGCCTGGCTTATTTCACTGAGTATACTACCCTCTAGCTCCATCCATGTTGTTGCAAAGGGTAGGATTTCTTCTTATGGCTGAATAATATTCCATTGTGTATATGTACCACAGCTTCTTTATCCATTCATCTACTGATGGACACTTAGGTTGCTTCCATTTCTTGGCTATTGTAAATAGTGCTGCGATAAACATAGGGTGCGTATGTCTTTTTCAAACTGGCCTCCTGCATTCTTAGGGTAAATTCCTAGGAGTGGAATTCCTGGATCAAATGGTATTTCTATTTTTAGTTTTTTGAGGAACCTCTATAATGCTTTCCACAATGGTTGAACTAATTTACATTCCCACCAGCAGTGTAGGAGGGTTCCCCGTTCTCCACATCCTTGCCAACATTAGTTGTTGTTTGTCTTTTGGATGTTGACCATCCTAACTGGTGTGAGGTGATATCTCACTGGTTGTAATTGTATTTCTCTGATGATTAGCGATGAGGACCAGCCTGTTCTTTAACAATCTATATGCTATTCTTCCTCTTCTTCCAGTTGATTTAATCAATTAACTAACTTGGTAACTAGGATGAGAGACAGACCTCCATAATGTAAATGAACCTACCTGAATATCGAGATCCTGATCAACATAGTCACCTAAATAACCCTATTCTTAAGACAAAACTTCAAAGTGATTATTAAACACCTCCTTGGTTAGGGTTATTCCTAGGTATTTTATTCTTTTTGATAAAATTGTGAATGGAATTATTTTCCTGATTTCTCTTTCTGCTAGTTCATTGTCAGTGTATAGGAATGCAACAGATTTCTGTGTATTAATTTTGTACCCACAACTTTGCTAAATTCAGATATTTGATCTAGTAGTTTTGGAGTGGATTCTTTACAGTTTTTTATGTACAATATCATGCTATCTGCAACAGGGAGAGTTTAACTTCTTCATTGCCAATCTGGATGCCTTTTATTTCTTTGTGTTGTCTGTTTGCCATGGCTAGGACCTCCAGTACTATGTTGAACAAAAGTGGGGAGAGTGGGAATCCTTGTCTTGTTCCTGATCTTAAACGAAATGCTTCCAACTTCTAGCTGTTAAGTTTGATGTTGGCTGTGGGTTTGTCATATATGGCCTTTATTATGTTGAGGTACTTGCCCTCTATACCCATTTTGTTGAGAGTTTTTATCATGAATGGATGTTGAATTTTGTCAAATGCTTTTTCAGCATCTATGGAGATGAACATGTGGTTTTTGTCCTTCTTTTTGTTGATGTGGTGGATGATGTGGATGGGTTTTCAAATGTTGTACCATCCTTTCATCCCTGGAATAAATCCTACTTGATCATGATGGATGATCTTTTTGATGTATTTTTTAATTTGATTTGCTAATACCTTGTTGAGTATTTTTGCATTTATGTTCATCAGGGATATTGGTCTGTAATTTTCTTTTTTTGTGGGGTCTTTGCATGGTTTTGGTATTAGAGTGATGCTGGCCTTGTAGAATAAGTTTGGATGTATTCCCTCCTTTTCTACCTTCTGGTAAACTTTTAGGAGGATGGATATTAGGTCTTCACTAAATGTTTGATGAAATTCAGCAGTGAAACCATCTGGTCCAGACATTTTGTTCTTAGGTAGTTTTTTGATTACCAAATCAATATCCTTGCTGGTAATCGGTCTATTCAGATTTTCCATTTCTTCCTGGAACAGCCCTGGAAGCTTGTATTTTCTAGAAAGTTGTCTATTTCTTCTAGGTTATACAGTTTGTTAGCATATACTTTTTCATAGCATTCTCTCATTATTCTTTGTATTTCTGTGGTGTCCATAGTGATTTTTCCTTTCTCCATTCTGATTTTTTTTTGTGTGTAGACTCTTTTTTTTTCTTCATAAGTCTGGCTAGGGGTTTATCTATTTTGTTTATTTTCTCAAAGAACCAGCTCTTGCTTTCATTGATTCTTTCTATTATTTTATTCTTCTTAATTTTATTTATTTCTGCTGTAATCTTTGTTATATCCCTCCTTCTACTGACTTTGAGCCTCATTTGTTCTTCTTTTTCTAGTTTCATTAATTGTGAGTTTATACTGTTCATTTGGGATAGTTCTTTTTTCCTGAGTTGGGCCTGTATTGCAGTATACTTCCCTCTTAGCACAGCCTTTGCTGCATCCCACAGATTGTGCGGTGTTTAATTGTTGTTGTCATTTGTCTCCATATATTGCTTGATCTCTGTTTTTATTTGGTCATTGATCCATTGGTTATTTAGAAGCATGTTATTAAGCCTCCATGTGTTTGTGGGATTTCTCATTTTCTTTGTGTAATTTATTTCTAGTTTCATACCTTTGTGATCTGAGAAGCTGCTTGGTACAATTTCAATCTTTCTGAGTTTATTGAGGCTCTTTTTGTGGCCTAGTGTATGATCTATTCTTGAAAATGTTCCATATGCCTTGAGAAGAATGTGTATCCTGTTGCTTTTGGATGGAGTGTTCTGTAGAGGTCCATTAGGTCCATCTGTTATGATATATTCTTCAGTGCCTCTGTCTCCTTACTTATTTTCTATCTGGTTGGCTGTCCTTTGGAGTGAGTAATGTGTTGAAGTCTCCTAAAATGAATGCATTGCATTCCATTTCCCCCTTTAATTCTGTTGGTATTTGTTTCACATATGTAGGTGATCCTGTATTGGGTGCATAGATATTTATAGTAGTTATATCCTTTTGTTGGATTGACCCCTTTATCATTATGTAATGTCCTTCTTGTCTCTTGTTACTTTCTTTGTTTTGAAGTATATTTTGTCTGATACAAGTACTGCAACTCCTGCTTTTTTCTCCCTATTAGTTGCATGAAATGTCTTTTTCCATCCCTTTACTTTCAGTCTGTGTATGTCTTTGGGTTTGAAGTGAGTCTCTTCTAGGCAGCATATAGATGAGTCTTGTTTTTTTATCCTTTCAGTGGCTCTATGTCTTTTGATTTGTGCATTCAGACTATTCACATTTGGGATGATTACTGATAGGTATGTACTTATTGCCATTGCAGGCTTTAGACCCGTGGTTACCAAAGGTTCAATAGTAATTCCCTTAATATCTAACAGTCTAATTTAACTCATTTGGTATGCTATTACAAAAACAACCAAAAGGTTCTTTTTTTTTTTTCCTCCTTTTTCTTCCTCCTCCATTATTTATATATTAGGTGTCATATTCTGTACTCTTTATCTATCCTTTGATTGACTTGGGGTAGTTGAGTTAATTTTGCACCTGCTTAGTAATTAATTGTTCTACTTTCTTTGCTGTGCTTTTATTTCCCCTGATGACAGCTATTTAGCCTTAGGAATACTTCCATCTGTAGCAGTCCCTCCAAAATGCACTATCGAGGTAAATTCTCTCAGGTTTTGCTTATCTGAAAATTGTTTAAGCCCTCCTTCAAATTTAAATGATAACCTTGCCAGGTAGAGTATTCTTGGTTCGAAGCCCTTCTGTTTCATTGCATTAAATACATCATGCCACTCCCTTCTGGCCTTTAAGGTTTTTGTTGAGAAGTCTGATGATAGCCTGATGGGTTTTCCTTTATATGTGATCATTTTTCTCTCTCTAGCTGCTTTTAAAAGTCTGTCCTTATCCCTGATCTTTGCCATTTTAATTATTATATGTCTTAGTGTTGTTCTCCTTGGGTCCCTTGTGTTGGGAGATCTGTGCATCTCCATGGTCTGAAACACTATCCCCTTCCCCAGACTGGGGATGTTTTCAGCAGTTACCTCCTCAAAAACACTTCCTATCCAATTTTCTCTCTTCTTCTTCTGATACCCCTATAATGTGAACATTGTTCTGTTTGGATTGGTCACGCAGTTCTCTCAGTATTCTTTCATTCTTAGAGATCCATTTTTCTGTCTTTGTGCCTCAGCTTATTTGTATTCCTCTTCTCTAATTTCTATTCCATTTACCATCTCTTCTACTACA